GGGGGGGGGGAGCTAATTAAAAAAGCTGCCATCCGCCTCCTCTAATTAACTTGCTCCCGGCCCAGGGTGCGAGAATAGTGACTAGGGTGGGCAGACCTGGGAGCAGAAGCTGAGCTCCTGACCCGAGGTGGACCCAGGTTGTTTGGGCCCAGGAATCGTTTATAATAAACAGGGCAGAGACCACAAAGAGGTTTGCTGTGCCCCCACCTCCCCCCCACACCTCAGTCACCCTGCACACTTCCTCCCCACACACAGGCATCAGGGAGGGACAGACCTCTCGGAGCAGGTGTCCAACTGGGCAGCTGCAGCCACAGAGGGCCGACCTCATTGGAATTCAGCAATGAGGGTTCGAGTGCATCCGGCCCTCCCTGTCGCCTGCTTGTGCCGTTGGGACAAAGGAGAGGCCCTTTGTGCTCCCAATCCATGCATCGCCAGTGCCTGGGACGCAGGAGGAGGGCGGCTGGGGCCCCACAGCCCCTTGGTCCACCCCCTCTCTGCTGCCAAGGGGCCGCTTCAGAAGCTCTCAGCACTGGGGCCCGATGACCAGCTCACTTTGCCGTGACTCCTAGAGGCCCCAGCCGGGCCCTGTGATGGACAGAGGCTGCACCTTGGCAGAGATGGCCTTTGGCTCCTGGCCTGTGTGGTCCCCGGTGGAGTGGGCCCGGTGGGTGTGGTCAGCTGTGACCCGCAGTGGCGAGTCCAGTGACCTCGTCCTTCAAGGAAGTGCTGGAAAGAGGCAAGTTGGCTCTATGCAACCCTTCAGCTCGTGGGTGCCGGTGCATGTAGGGCTGGGGGCTGGGAGAGGGGACTGGGTTCTCAGGACAAGCCTCAGCCAGGGCTGCGCCCAGGGCTCAGCAGGGCTCAGCCAGTGTTGGAAACCCTCCTCCCTCTGTGCTGTTCCCTTGGGTCACATGCAGGGAAAGCAGATCCCCCGAAACTCCAGGTCCCTCCATCTGTTGTTGTCCAAGTGTGGATCTGAAATTGCCCCGCAGACAGGAGCTGAGCCCTTTCATCGCCGGTGTGTTTGCGAAGAGCCAGCCTCGCCCCTGTGGCTTTTGCATGAATTAGGGGTTTGCTTCTGACATTTAATACTACGCAGGCATTCGAAGCCGCCCGGACCGCTCTGTTCCTTGCTGCGTAGGTGGGGGTGGGGAGGGGCTCCCCGCTGTGTCTGTTGGAGGGTCCCTGGTCCTGGGAGAACAGGGTCTTTGGCATTGATGCAGCCAGGCTGGCCCAGGTTGTGGGTTTTCTGGACGGGGGAACCCATTGGATAGCTGTTTCTGAGTTCGGGGTGACCTGCTGGTGGCTTTCAGGTGCTGGTGATCTGAGGTCACTGTCTGAGGTCCTTGCTCCTCTGAGCTTTGCACACCGTGGGTCTCAGTGACGCTATAACTCTCTCTGCTTCCGCCCCCCACCCCATTTCCCTTTGTGATGGTCAGTACTCGAACGTCCTTGTGATCCTCTTGGTCATTAACTTACTCCGTTGAGCTATGGGACGGAGAAAGACGAGGCTTTCTACTCCCATAACGAGCAAGTCTCAGACACCCACAAAGGCAGTTCAACCCTGTCCTATAGGGTCGCTAGGAGCAGAAACGCCTTGATGGCCGTGCGTTTGGTTTCCGGTTTTATTTTGTTTGAGCCCGCTGCTCATCTCACATGCTAAGGGCGTGTCGCCTGGAGAGACCCATCCCTGGCAAAGGACAGCATCCTTGGTGACGTGGGGGGCAGTGAAAAGGAGCGAGGTGGATCGAAACATGGGCGCATTTGTGAGGACGTTGCTGGCGCTCCTTCTGCTGCACACCTGGTCGCTGAGTCTGAGCCAACAACAGCCACTTTGAGATGGGAACCCGCCCAGGCTGCTGTGTCCCCTCTGGCTGTGGGTCAGGCCCGGGACCCCGAGAACAGGGGCAAATATGCAGGGGCTGCGGGGTGAGGACTGTGGTGGTGGCCTGCTTGCACCACAGCCTCCGTCCTTCCGGCTGAACCCTTGAGTCACCAGTAGAAGCGGGTGGCGGGGAAGGGTGCTCTCGGTCAGTCCTGGCTGGTCTTCGGCTCCGGCCACGTGGCCTCCCCTTGGGGCTGGCTGGGGCTGTCTCCATGAGCTTTCAGTCCACTGCACAGGAAGCAGGCTCTCCTGAGGCTGACACGCCGCCTCCACGTGGCTGGGCTTGGCAGGTGTACACCTGTGACCTGGCACCTTCTGGGGCTGGCAGCCTGGTTGCCTTTGCTGTTTGTTCGTCCAGCAGGCTCTGGGGGCCACAGGGAGTATGGCCAGCCGGCCAGCCTCCTGGCACTGTGGGTTCAGCTGAGGAGAGGGGTAACTAAACGGTGAAAGGTGCAGCCTGTGGAGGGGAAGGGCAGGCCCAAGGGAGAGTCAGCGTCGGGGACCGGGAGGGGACAGTCCTAGTGGTGTGTCGGGGTGGAGTGTCCCATGAGCCAGCACTCACCTGATGCCTGCACTGGGTTGTATCAGGCACTAGGGCAGTGGTCTCAGTCTTCCAAATGCTGTCACCCTTTAATACAGTTCCTCGTGTTGTGGTGACCCCCCCCCAGTCATAAAATTATTTTCGTTGCTACTTCATCACTGTCATTTTGCGACTGTTTTGAATCTGGTGACCCCTGTGAAAGGGTCGTTCGACCCCCCCAGAGGGGTCGCAACCCACAGGTTGAGAACCACCAGACTAGGGCAAGGTGTGTGTGCTCCAAGGAGGGCCCTGCTGTCATCAAAGCTGGTGACTACCAAGACTCATGCAGGGCCCCAGGGACGGACGCAGGCAGCACCGTGACTTTCCAGGTCACTCCTGGACCTCCTAGCAACCCTGCAGGAAAGGCAGAACCACCCTGTGGTTCTTTCTCCCAAGGAGCGGCTGCTGGTTCCGAACCGCTGGCCTTGCCGGTAGCAGCCCGGTGCATAGCCACTGCGCCACCAGGGCTGGACTCCAGGGCAGTGAGTTTGGTTTCTGGTTCGGTCCTGGAGCCATTGGATCGGCTCTTGGGCCAGGCTCCCTGTGTGCGGTCAAAGGCCATGTGACGTCCAACAGGCTGGCCCGTGGCCCCTCTCGGTAGACAGTCCCGGCCCGTTTCTAGCCCAGTCTCCCTCTCTCTCCCCGCAGGAGTTCTGACTCTGAAGAAGCATTTGAGACCCCGGAGTCGACCACCCCTGTCAAAGCCCCCCCGGCCCCACCCCCACCTCCCCCGGAAGTGGTCCCTGAGCCCGAGGTCAGCGCCCAGCCACCCCTGGAAGAGCCAGGTAAGCAGGTGGGGAGCTCCCAGGGGTGGGGGGCAGGCAGGGGGTCCTCCCGGCGTCTAGAAGGGGCAGGCAGGCCTGTTCTCGCCACGCTCTCGGCACGTCTGCCCCTGGCTGGGGCCCTTCCCCTCCTTCCTCGGCGACCGCAAAGCCAAACGCAGCTCCTCTTCCATCGAGCACACGCAGACACGCACACACGTGTGCATACACACGGCAGACCCCTCTTTCTGGGGACGTTTCTAACCACAACCCCCCCCCCCCATCCGCTCCCCGAAGGATCTGGAAGTGTTTGTGCCACCGAGTCACGGTCCCTGGGGACGAAGACGGGTCAGTCTGTGAGCAGGCACTTCTGCTTTGAAAGCCAGGGGCATGTGCCTTTGCCCCAGGAAGGCGGGGACTGTGCCTGTGGACAGCGCAGACCTGGGCTGAACAAAGATCTAGGGGTTTGCCTCATGTTCCCCACCCCCACGCCCCTGTCCCCGACCCGGTCTACTGCCCAGTGTGGGCACCGGACGGCAGCAGCTGGGGCGGGAGACTGCTTGCATGGTCGATGGTTCGAGGCCAGGGAAAGGACTGTGGGTGGGAGTGGCCAGAGAGCCAGGGCTCTTTACAAACTGCCCAGTGTCATTGCTGAAAGTTCTGGAAGACCCGGAGAATCAGCCAGACCCTTGGCTTTGAACACAGGCAGGGTTTCCCCTGGAAAGCTGTGTGATGGTGGGGTAGGGGACGGAGGGCAGCCAGAAGCCAGGCCTTCACTCTGATTTGGCCCCCATGTCTGGGCAGGGGTGTGGGGGCCCCTTAGCCGAGCCTGACTCTTCTACCCATAGAATGAAGAGGCTGGTCTTTGGCTCTCTGCAACCCTCCCAGGGCCCCGCACGTGGCAGGTTTGTCTGCCCTTGCTGTGACCCTGTTAGCAGGCCTTGGTGTGGGCCAGAACCCCCACACCCAGGAGGCGAGGGCCCCTGCACATCCCCGGCAGGGGGTAGAGGTAGCACAGGGTCCCGGGGCACGTGCAGGATTTGGGGGAACCGGCATAGTGTTTGTGCATTGGGCAGCTACCCACCAGGTCATCAGTTGGGAACCACCATCAAGAAAGAGGGGGCTTTCTACTCCCGCCAAGAGTTCCTGACTGACATTCACAGGGGCAGCCCTGCCCTGTCCCGGAGGGTCCCTGTGCGTCGGCACCCACTTAGCGGAGGGAGGGGCTTTTGTTTCCAAGCTGTGGGAGAGGTTCTTGCAGGTCACACCTGACTTCAGCCCTGCAAGAGTGTCCACTTTACAGGTGAGCCACGGAGGCTCAGAGAGAATGGTCGCCATCGCCGGCCGGAGGGTTGACAGCAGGCTGGGGGCCGGAGGGTTGACAGCAGGCTGGGGGCCGGAGGGTTGACAGCAGGCTGGGCGCTCTGCGAGCATCCCACCCACCACAGCCTGTGGGCATACGCCCCTCTGGTCTGCGCACGTGCAGAAGGAGCCTGGGAGGAACAGAGGGCTGGGCCTTGGCCTGCTAGCCATACGGTCAGCGTTTGGACTCGGCGGCCGCGGGAGGAGAGACAGGCGAGGCGGTCTGCTGCTGTGACCGCGTCAGCCCTAGCTTGCTGTGGGGCAGCTCTCCCGGTCCCTCTGGGCTGCGTGAGTCCTGACCGACTGGGTGGCAGTGGGTTTGGTTCGGTTTAGGGCTAACTCCTAAACAGCTACAACAGACAGGAGGCCAGCCTCCTCCCCTCAACCCAGAACCACCCACCCACAAGGGTCATCAGGGCTGGCTTAAGAAGCCCTGTGGAAAGATGGGGCTCCTGGCCCGTGATGTTTTAATGAGGGCATATCAGCTCTAAACAGGAAAGCCGAATTAAGCAGGCAGGGAATGCGGGGAACAGATGGGTACGCCGGAGAGCTGGGATTTGTGAGAACCACTGACATTTGAGGGGCGTCCCAAGGCTCCCGCCCAGAGGGGCTGGGGGCTGGCAGTTAGGTGGGGACTGTGCTTCTCACACTAAGGAGTGAGTGGGCTGCAGGCTCTCTCTTCCTCCTGCCAGGCTGGGCCTTGTGGAAACCCCTAATCCTCTGTGGGGCCCACGCTCCTGTGCCCTGGGTTTCGCTGTGTCCTGGGGTAAGGAGAGGGCAGGAAGCCGAGGGCCTTACTACCAGGAGCATGGAGTGCCTGAGGGTGTATGCGGAGTGTGGGAGTGGAGACAGCCTTGAGGGAGGGAGGCCGCTTCAGAGAGCTGCTTTGTCTTGTAAGATATCTGCTCGAGTCCTACTGGGCAGCGGGGCTGGGGCGGAGACAGAGGCCAAGGTCTGAAACTGGGTCTGGCTAATGGGACCAGGTCTGGAGCATGCTTTCTAACCCCAGAGGCATGGAGAACACGTCAAAGCTGCACAGCCCCGGTTGACAGGCTGGGGAGGGGGGGGGGGGGGGTGCGGAGAAAGAGAAACAGGACAGGTGTCTCAGCAAAAGCCATGGGGACTCCTGGGGCAGTCTCCCTGGCCAGCAGTCCTGCAGCTGGGCTCACGCAGAATGTGCCCAGAGATGGACTCGCCTGGGATGCAGAACCCTCTGAAGCATAGTGACCCCAGAGGGCAGGGTAGAACTGCCCCGGGGTGGGGGACCCCAAAGCCCTCACCTTTACCGAAGCAGATGGCCTCATCTTCCTTTCCTGGAGAAGCTGGGAGTGCAAACCACCCACCGAGCCTCCGGAGCCCCCAGCTTCACACTACCCACCCCTGCCGTTGAATCAATCCCACCTCATTGACACCATCAAGAGCAGCGGTTCTCAACCTGTGGGGCGCGACCCCCTTGGAGATCGAATGACCCTTTCATAGGGGCCGCCCGATTCATCACAGTAGCAAAATTATAGTGATGAAATAGCAACGAGAATCATTGTATGGTTGGGGGGTCACCACGCGGCATGAGGAAGTTGACACCACAGCTCTACAGGCTGCCCCAGGCTGGGAGCAGACAGCCTCATCTTTCTCTCACAGAGCAGCCTGTGGGTTTGAACCACTGACCTGGCAGTCGGCAGTGTGACCCACTCTGAGAAATTCTGCAGTAAGAAAGCAGCTTGGGTTTCATGGCCTGCTTCCCAGGCCCATTTCATTTGTTGGAACGGGCACAAGAGTGCCAGCTTGAGCAAATGAGAAGATGGGTGCCCATTCTGGTGCTGGTGCTGGGAACCGGCCGGACACAGTGCATGCCACTGAGCTGTGGGTACAAAACAGGTCGACGTGACCAGTGCCCGTCACTTTCTAAATGCGTTTTGCTACCATTAAAACAAAAAGCTCGGGCACCCACACAGACGGGGATTTCAGATCAACAATGGATAATTGCCACATGAAAATGCCCCTCGCTGCCTCTTCCTCCCAGCCATCCCACCCCCCTGCCTCTTCAGCCACCAGCAGCCTCGAAGCCGAGCCCCATTCCCAATATGCTCGCTCCCCAGATGTTGGTCAAAGGATGCTCCCTGGCCTCACGACCCACTGCTCCCCGGGGACCTCCCCACCCCACCCAGCTCTAGGCTGGCCGCTGTAGGCTCTGTGCACACCAGGTGGCCGCTGGCCTGCATTTCTGGACTCCCAGCTGCTCTGGGCAGGCAAGGATGCCCGAGGCATCATCTGCCAGAAACTGGAAACAAAGGAGGGGGGCAGCTGCAAACGGTCCTGTGCCCGAAAGCTGGAAGGTCTGCAAGACATGGGGAGAGGGAGGGAAGCGTTATGTGTTTGAGCTGCTAACTGCAAGGTCAGAAGTTCTAAACCACCAGTTGCTCTGCTGGAGAAAGACAGTGCTTTCTACTCTCATAAAAGAGTTATAGTCTCGGAAACCCATAGGGGCAGTTCTACCCTGTCCCACAGGGTGTGTTTCAGCGTCCACTTCGATGGCAGCAAGTTTGGTTTTTGGGTTTGGCCCCTGTGTATGAGGCCTCCACCCTACCAACATGGTGGGGAGGGAGGGAGGACAGTTGGACTTGAATTTCAGATCAGTGAATAGTCTGTATATGTCCCATCAGGAGCCCTGGTGCCACGGTGTTTAAGGGCTCCGCCACTGCTCAGCAGGTTGGCGGTTCCAACCTACCCTCCGCTCTGGGGGAGAATGAAGAGGCTGTCTACCTCCGGAGAGATTTGCAGCCACAGAAACAGCTGGGCAGTTGTAGAATCACAGTCCTCCTGGCCCTGCCCCCTGTTCCACCACCCCAGCACCCTTCACTGTCTGATAGCCCTGTGCTTTACTCCCTGCTGTGAGGCTGCCTTCCTGGGAAAGGATGAGCTTCCGAGTGCAGGATCCCCAGCACCTCAGACAGTGCTTGGTCCTGACAACCACACCTAACCCAAACTCCTTGCCCTCGGGTCCACCCTACTGGGCAGGGTTGAATTGCCCCTGCGGGTTTCTGAGACTACCTTTTTTTAAAATTAATCATTTTATTGGGGGGGGGGGCTCTTACAAATCTTGAGCAATCCATCATTCAATGGTATTAAGCACACTTGTACATATGTTGCCTTCAACATTTCCAAAACACGTTCTTTCTGCTTGAGGCCTTGGTATCAACTCTTCTTTTTTATTTTATTATTATTATTTTAATCATTTTATTGGGGGCTCATACAACTCTTATCACAATCCATACCTACATCGATTGTGTCAAGCCCATTTGTACATTTGTTGCTATTTTATTGTTATTATTTTGTCACATCTTACACTGTCCGATTTCTCCCTTCACCCACTTCTCTGTTGTCCGTCCGTCCCCCAGGGAGGGGGTTACATGTAGATCCTTGTAATCGGTTCCCTCAGCTCTTCTTTTTTCCCCCTCTCTCCCCCAAGAGATTGTAACTTTTTCTTTTTTAATCATTCTATTGGGGGCTCTTACAACATTCCATACATTAATTGTATCAAGCATATTTGTACATATGTTGCCATCATCATTACAAAACATTTTCTACTTGAGCCCTAGGTAGAAGCCCCTCTTCCCCCCCACCCACCCTCATGAATCCTTGATCAATTACACATTGTTGTTATTATTTTGTACCTTACACTGTCTCTTGTCTCCCTTCACCCACATTTCTGTTATTCATCCCCTTGTGATGGGTTCTCCTTTTCTCTCCCTTCCCCCTCCTCAACCACCCCTCCCCTCATTATACCGCTACTCCCACGACTGTTCCTGAGGGGGTATCTGTCCTGAATTCCGTGTGTCGAGAGCTCCTATCTGTAAAGAGACTGTAACTTTTTATGGGAGTTAACAACAACAACAAAATAAAGCCCCTCATCTTTCTCCCCCCAGAGGCTGATGGTTTCGAACTGCTGACCAATTGAGTCAGCAGCCCAAGGCCTAACCACTACTCCACCAGGGCTCCTTTGGTTCCGGGCAAGCCTTTCCTGGCAAATATGGGTGGAGTGAGTGCATGCGCTGGGCTTTTCCTGATGGTGTTTCTCACTCCAATTTGCAGACGAGGGTGAGGGAGGGCCAGGGTGTCATGAGTGGGACCAGGCCTGGTACCAGGGCCACGCATCCAGTGGTGGGCTAGATGTCCCGGGCAGAGGGGATGAAACACTCCCGAGGTCTTCGGGTTGACGGCCTTGTCTTGCATCCCTCAGGATGTGTCCCTGAAGCCGCCCCCATCCCCGAGGGCCCCCAAGGTGACCCTGTGGAAGGACACCCTTTCCGACCCCCGTCACACTCCTTCTCCACCGTCTTCGATGAAGACAAGCCCATCGCCAGCAGCGGCACCTACAACCTAGACTTTGACAGCCTCGAGCTGGTGCACAATTCCCAGGCGCCGGAGCCCTGCTGCCCAGACGCGAAGGACCAGGAATGCCTAGGGACAGCGCGGAGGAAGTCCACAGACGCCGTCCCCGCCTGCAAGTCCACCCTGTCCCGCTCGCTCAGCCTGCACGCGGGCGAGTTTGAGGGTGCTTCTGGCACCGGCAGCCCCGAGGCGGCGGGCCTTGCCCCAGAGACGCAGGGCGCGGGCTCCAGCAGTGCCTCCAGCACCCTTAAACGAACTAAAAAACCGAGGCCGCCTTCCTTAAAAAAGAAGCAGACCACCAAGAAACCCACCGAGGGCCCCCTGGGGAAGGAGACGCAGCCGGAGCCAGCTGGGGAGAGCCCAACTCCTCCGGAGGAGAATCCGGCCGCTGAGACCAACGCAGAGCCGGCCAAGGTGGAAGATTCTGGACCAGCCTTATTGGAGGAGACGCCCCTAGAACCTGCCGCTGTGCCTCCACCTGCCTGCCCCTTGGATTCAGAAAGTGCTGCGGGGGTTGTACCCCACCTGTCGGCAGGCGGAAGAGTGCAGAACTCACCCCCTGTGGGAAGGAGACAGCTGCCTCCTTCCACAGCCCCAGAGGTGGTGGAGGTGGCCCCATCAGACAGTGGGGGTCAGGAGGACCCCCCAGCCACAGGGACTCCAGTGAGGCTGGAGTTTGACTATTCAGAGGACAAGGGGGGCTGGGACAGTCAGCAGGGAACCCCTCCTCCTACCAAAAAGACAGGCAAAAAGCCGGTCGCCAAAATGCCCCTGAGGAGGCCGGCACTGAAAAAGGCGCCCGAGAAACCGGACAACACCCCTGCCTCACCTCCCAGGGCCCCCGCCGCCGAGCCCAATGACATCCCCGCGGCGAGAGGTACCTACACCTTTGATATTGACAAGTGGGATGACCCCAACTTTAACCCCTTTTCTTCCACCTCAAAAATGCAGGAGTCTCCCAAACTGCCCCAACAGTCCTACAGCTTTGACCCCGACACCTGTGACGAGTCCATTGACCCCTTTAAGACGTCCTCTAAGACCCCTAGCTCACCTTCTAAGTCCCCAGCCTCCTTTGAGACCCCGGCCAGTGCCATGGACGCCAATGGAATGGACGGGGACGGGCTGAACAAGCCCGCCAGGAAGAAGAAGACGCCCCTCAAGACGTAAGTTCAGGGGTGGAGTTGGTGAGGATCCCAGGCGGGTAGGCACTGGCTGTGAGTCTTGGTCACGTGCCCGGGTACGCTATGGCTGCCCTCACCTCTGTCCCTGCTCGCTGTCACGCGCCACCCTCCTCCCGATGTTTGTAGGCAGACAGGGTAGCTGCCCAGTTGTCGTCTCTGTCACAGCGTTAGCATCTTCCACAACAGGACCCTTTGGGGTCTGGTCCCCCTCGTCTAGTGCATGATCCCAAGCTTTACTCTTGGCCAAAGACCCGAATTTCAACTCCAGGGGAGTCCGGGGGATCCTGTAGACAGAGGACCCAACCATCCTCCTTATGGACGAACCCTTTTCCATTTGACCAAAGAGCTGGTTGTTAGAGTGGCCTAGAACCCGTGGGCCTTTTAAAACGCTGCTAAACTCGATGGTATTGGCTTCTGCCTATGAATGAGTTGTTAGCTCAGAGACAAAGATGTCAGGCCCCAGGAGGCCCTGAGAGACGTGCCTTGCCCAGCCCAGCCTCTCCTTACACACACACACACACACACACACCCAGCCCATAAGGAGCACCCCTCTTTGTCTCTACCCTGATTCTAGTCACCTTCTGCAGACTAGAGTCCAAAGCCCCGGAGGCTTAGAAGAAATCACTGGTCTCCAAACAGAGGGAGCAGGGCTGGTAGTGTGAACGCACCGGATGCCCACACACACACACCAACTTGCCAGGTGGATTGTCCTTAAGCCACACGTGGGCCCATGCTTCCAGAACCATCCCGAGGCCCCATTCAACCCCATAGGGCTGCAGGTCCGCATGCGGGACTCTGGGGCAAGCCTGGAGACCCCCTCCCTGTTCTCTGCAGAATGCCATCACGGAGCTCAGCGGTGCCCTGGGGGAGTGGGCTGGCAGAGCAGGCCCCAGCTGCCAGCTCTGAGTCTGTCCTGCATGAGGAGGGGGGCTGCTTACCTCCCAGAATGGGTGTCCCCCAGCAGCTCACCTTCGAGAAGGGCAGGTGCTTCCTCAGAAGGACGGCAGGCTGTGGGTGGCCTCCGTCAGAGAGGGAGGCAGTCCTAGCAGTAAAAATGTGGCTTTCTTTTAGACCAACTCCCCAGAGAGGGCTGCTTAAAGGAGCCACGGCGCCCTTGTTGGGAGCTTCCCTGAAGTCTCAAAGGGGAGACTTCAGAGGTGCAGGTCCACAAAGCCATCGACTCTCCTTTTAAAAGCTTCTGCTGGCACGGTGACTAAGCATTCATCTGCGGACTACAAGGCGGGCAGCTCGGACATGGCGATCTGCTGTTGTCCGGCCCCTCCAAACCGGCCCCACTTGCAGCGACCTTGCGCTCAACAGACAAATACTGCCAGCTCCTGCACCGTCCTCACAGGTGTTATGTTAGAGCCACTGTGTCCGTCCATCTCCTGCGGGGCCTTCCTCTTTCCTGCTGCCCCTCCACTTTATCAAGCGTGAGGTCCTTTGCCAGGGACCGGTCTCTCCTGACAGCAGGTCCAAAGGACGGGCGGCTGAGCAAACCTGCAGGCCATTTCTCCTCTGTCCCATGGGGTCTCTGTGAATTGACTGGAGGGCACCAAGCCACAATGATATATATATTTTTAGGCGACAGCCCCCTTGTCCTGCCCACAGACAGCAGGGTTGTGCTTCCCGCCAGCTCCGGTCACGGTTTTCTGTCGAGCTAACAGAGGTCATTAGGGAGATGGACCCTTGCCTTGGCCCCATCCAAAGTACGGGCGGGGGTCTTGGTGGCTGGGTGAGACAGAGCCTTGGGGGCCAATGCTTTCCGGGGGCCACTGGCTCACCCCCACCCCCACCCCCCGGACTCCCCAGGGATGCCTATGGGTCCCTACCGGTGAATGGCCACCTGTCTGCAGACGTAACCTTTTTTGTCAGTTCCTTTTGTCTGTCTCTCTTTTTCTTTGTCTTCTTGTCTTAGGATGGTTGAAGATGTCATGTCTGTGTGTTCTCTGTTGTAAGTAAATTTTACCGAATCTGCCTTTTATGCCAAATGTGTCCTCCTTCACACCACCCCCCCGCTTGTACGTCCCCTCCCAAGTGTTGCCCTTCATCTCCCTGGTTGCTCCTTCCGGGTTTCTGGGCTGGGGCTGTTGGGCCATGGGCTGGCTTCATGGTAGCTGAGGTGCCTGCCCCAGTGAAACCACACGGTTCCCAACACCTGTGTGCTGGTGAGGGATGGAGCTTTCTTTGCCCCTAGCGTATTGGCTGTCTTCACCTGAAACCCACCCGAATCTGTGTGTGTGTGTGTGCGCCTATGTACCTGTGCGCAGTGGACCAGCTGGTGACGGGCTTCAGGAGGACGGTGGCCGCACAGTAAGAGAATCATTCAGGCCCTCTGGTGTCCAAGCTCCCCAAGCTGCCCGGAATGCAGACTTCCTCCGAGGGGTGCAGTGGGTGCAGCCACTGACTCCTGGGGCCACCGTCAGGCTGCTCTGAGCCTGTCCTGGTCCCTGGGGCTGGGCTACCTGTCGGCATGCCTCACCTGCTATCTGTGTGTCGCTCTGCGGGTGTTTGTGGCTCTTTGTCTCCCCCTGGCCTAGAGGGGTCTGACCAGGAGCATCCAGGGGCCCCAAACTGGCACCATCTCTGCTGCCTGGTCCCCGCCAGGGACGCTGGCGTGGTCCCAAGGAGCGTCCAGCAAGCCCAGGGTAGGGTTATGTCTCTGCTGCCTGGTCCCCGCCAGGGACACTGGCCTGCTTCTAGGGAGTGTCCAGCAAGCCCAGGGTAGGGCTATGTCTCTGGCTTGCTTCTGCCCCAGGGAATTTTTCTTTAATTGTGTTCTGGAGACATTGAGTGGTGCAGGTGAACGGTTACGTGTTTATGCGTGCACTCTTAATACATGATCTGAGCTGTGATGTTGGTGTGACCCAGAGCCATTGTTGGAGCATCTTATTGGTGAGACCACAAGGAAGGACCCAAGACCCACCTTGCTCTGCCCTCTAGTTAATGTGTCAAGCTGAGGGGACTCACATATCCCCAAGAGGGATCCCCCTGTGTCCCCAAAGCCTTCGTTTGCTGGGGCTGGGACACAGTCTAGGGGCAGTGGCCAGTCTCCCTGGTAGACAGGCCTCCATTCTCACTGTGGACACGATTCCCAGGTGGACTTAACCTAAAACTATGGGGGGGCGGGGGGGCTCATAAAGGTCGTGGAGAAGCGGAATTAAAAGGTGACGGATTTGCTCCCACCAACTCCCAGGCCCCCCTGTCCACTAGGCCAGGTGACACCCCGTCCTGCTGATTCTCCCGCTGTGTCCTCTGACACACATACACCCCCCGCCCCCCTGGATTCAGAACCCATGTCCTCTTGGCCTGTCCACCCCAGGTGAAAGAACGAGAGGAGGCTTGAACCAAAAGACATTATGCCTCATCTTGTTGCCTGCCTGCCTTGGCTCAGAGTCTCCCACCTGGAAGTTCAGAGGCCTGGGGCCTTCCTACCAGTGAGAAATCCCGAAGAGCCAAACCTACTGCCATCGAGCCAATCCTGAGTCATGGCCACCCCACTGGGCAGGGTAGAAGTCTAACTCTTTACGGGAGTAGAAAGCCTCATCTTTTGCTCGGGATGTGGCTGGCGGTTTCAAACTGCTGACCTTGCGGCTAGCAGCCCAGCGGGGAACCCACTGCGCCACCAGGGCGCCTTACCAGGCAGAAGCCTTCTGCAGGTTCCTCCAGGGACGTCCAACTCTCCGTTTCTGTTCCCGCTTCCTCGGCGCAGGCCACTCACTACAGAGTCTGTTTGCCCATCTGTAAATGGGATGTTGTAAGTTGGTTTCGTGAACGCAGGTCCCCCTGCCCCGAGATCGAGTCCCCCACCCCACCCATTTAACTTGAGTTGGTGCAGACATCCCCTGACGAGTCCAGATAAATGAATCCACCCACCCAAACTTGGCTCTTCAAAGCAAGCACATCTGCTTCAATCTAGCTTCATTCCTGGGCCACGGCTCCAACCAGCACCCCTTGAAAGCCTTCCAGCTGGGCTCCGCTAACCCTGGGGGGCAAAAGTCAGGGTTGCTGGCAAGTCAGACTTCCCTATGGGCCTAGATGTCACCCACGCTGTGGGCACTGGGGGTGGGGGGTGGCCTGGAGGCAGGGTGGGTGGGCGGGCACTGCCTCTGGACGGCACTGGTCCCCCTTCTGCTCTGGTCCTCAGGTTGACCTTGCCAATTTTCTTCTTCCCAGCGACACGTTTAGGGTGAGAAAGTCGCCAAAACGGTCTCCTCTCTCAGAACCGCCTTCGCAGGTATCGTTTCCCACTGAGCTGCAGGACTTGGCGGCGTCCCCCCAGGGGGGCGGGGTGGGGGGAGAGGTCGGGGGTCACCGCTGCTTTGACCTGGGTCTCTGCTAGCAAGCCCAGCTGTCCTCTCTGAATCCCAGACCCTCTCCCAGCCTCCTGGGCAAGTTGCCTCACTGGCCCCGGGCTTGGGGGCATCAGGCCAGGCAGGGGCGGTGCTGGCTGGGTGGCACAGGGTCCACCCCGGCTGATTAATCTGCCCTGCATAGATGTGACCATCACGCCGATAAAGTGCCCTGAGGAATGAAAGGAAGGCAGAGTGGGGGAGCAGAGTTGGGCTGAGCATCGCAGCCCAAACCCATCAGGAGCCCCCTTTTCTGGATAGAGGTCCCCATCCTGTTCCTACCATGGAACGCCATGTATCCCCCGTTTATTTATACGGCTTGACTGTGCGTGGACCCTACTACAACAACAGACCCTTCCCCCCTGCCAAGGAAGCCCAGCCAGGGTGGCCGGTGCAAGGGGGGCGGGGCTGCAGAGAGAGGAGCCTTGTGCTGGGAGGAGGGGGCTTGGGCTCCACTGACACTGAATTCTACCTTCTCAATTCTGGGCTCCCACCCTGCTCCTGCCTTCATCAGCTCCATCCCTGCCTGCCTGCAGAGGGATTTGAGACACCCCCCCCCCACCTCCACCCCTACTCCGCCTTACCTTTCAGAGCAGGCGGAGGGCCTGGGGGAGGTCCCTGATGGGGGCACACTTAGCCAGGGCCCTGGAATACACGGAGCACAGGTGCGGTGGTGGTGAAAATAGGGGGGGAGATGGGTGGAGTGTTTCCTCCCTGCTCTCGAAGTGAGCTGGTCGGAATGCCTCCGTGAATGAGGACACAGCTCCCTGTTTGCCCTTGGCTTCACAGAGGGCAGATCCGGTTTCCTTGAGGGATCTATGGAGAAGACCAACCAGTGTTGGCCGGGGGCTCCCTCTCGAGGCCCTGGGGTGGGCAGGGTTCCCCAGGAGACGGAGGAGAGACCTCGCTCTTTCTTGCAGGACCCCACTCCCGCGGTGACACCTGAGAGCCCCCCGGTGAGCTCAGCAGTGGTCCACGCGACCGACGAGGAGAAGCTGGCTGTCACCAGCCAGAAGTGGGCGTGCATGACCGTGGACCTGGAGGCCGACAAGCAGGACTACCCCCAGCCCTCGGACCTGTCCACCTTCGTCAACGAGACCAAGTTCAGCTCCCCCACGGAGGGTAAGAAACTCAGTGGCCGGCCTGCCCTGGCTGGCACTGCCCCTGGGGAGTGAGGGGCAGGAGAGAGACTCCCCCAACTAGGGAACCGTGCCTCCTCCTGCTGCCTTTAAAAAAAACAAACATTTTATTGGGGGCTTATATAGCTCTTATCACAAGCCATCCATCCATCCATTGAGTCAAGCACATTTGTACATACATTGCCATCATCATTCTCAAAACATTTGCTCTCTGTTTGATCCCTTGGTATCAGTTCCTCATTTTTCCCCCTCCCACCCTCCCTCCCTCACGAACCCTTGATAATTTATAATTCTTGTTTTCATGTCATACACTGACTGAGGTCTCCCTTCACACACTTTTTTGTTGTCCATCCCCCTGGGAGGGGGTTATATGTCGATCATTGTGATCTGCTACCCTTTTCTCCCCTACCTTCCCTCCACCCTCCTGGTATCACCACTCTCTCCACTGGTCCTGAAGGGATCATCTGTCCTGGATTCCCTGTGTTTCCAGTTCTTATCTGTACCAGTGTACGTCCTCTGGTCTAGCCAGACTTGTAAAGTAGAATTGGGATCATGATAGTGGGGGATGAGAGGGGCATTAAAGAACTAGAGGAAAGTTGTATGTTTCATCGTTGCTACACTGCACCCTGACTGGCTCTTCTCCTCCCTGTGACCCTTCTGTAAGGGGATGTCCAGTTGACCACAGATGGGCGTTGGGTCCCCACTCAAGGCTGCCTTTTCGAGCAGCCCGGGGTCGACCAGCCTGGCACGCACACTCGAGCTCTGCTTGGCTTGGTCTGAATGGCTTCGCCCCTGGTGCTCCAAGGGCAAGTCCTCCAAATTGGACTTTCAGGGTCGGTCGGGCCTCTTCGGCATCTGTTGGTGGGCCCAGGGTTGACGGGCCTCAGAGAACAATTGGACGTGGGGGCCAGCCCGACCAAGCCAAACATGATTTACCCCACGTTTATCACTGGGGGTCACCAGGGGTTGAGGGGGGCTTTATTGCTTATGGAACACCGAGTATCTGTTAATGGCGATGGAAAAACCACGTTGCTGAAGGGTTGGGGGCAGTAGTGGTAAAGGGAGGTTACTGTTCACTCAAGCACTGTAAGTGCTGAGGAGCCAGGCCCTTGTAAACAGGTGACCCAGCCAACTTGTATGACAGACAGTTTGATCACAGTGGCCCCAAGAGGACTGGCTGCTGTGAACGCCTCACAGGGCTTGGTTGCTGGTTTGGAGGTTTGGGGCCGTGGTTTTGTGGGACATCTAGTTTCCTGGCTTTGGTGCGTAGGTTACACTGCCTGGTTACAGTCCCCGGATCTGAAAAGCTCTCTGTTCCCTGGGAGCCACAGAGGAGGAGGGAGGGAGGAAGGGGAGGGGGGACACGGATGGTGTTGCCTCCATGACAGTGGTCTCCTTGGCGATGAGGCCAGAGGAACTGGGTGGTACCCACGCCTCATTACTGAGCATCATACTGATCAAAGTGTATGTGTAGGGGGGGCAGGGGCCAAACCAGAATCTCAGTTCTCCTTTGCTCCAGACGGAAACGATTGCCCTACAAGCATCTGTAAACCTTCAACCAAAAGCATCCCCTGGGGTCTTCTTAAAACCGACCCATCTGTAGCTTTGTGGTCACACCTGTCCGCCTGGAGCACCACCTTCTTTTCAAGACCTGTCCACGTGGAGGGCAGGGCCGTTTGCGCTTCCTGCGTCTGGATGGTTCCTTGGGGGCCCTTGGGCTCTTCCTGTCTCACAGTTACCCCAACCCCATCTCCCTGCAGCAGTCGGAGGGACGGCGGTCTCCCACTGACGGTGGTGTCTTTGGTGCCCCCTCACAACTGTCTGGAAGGGATGTGGTGGGGCCGTTGGGAGCAGCCCCATCTCCCAGTCCTGGACTGCGCACCCCACCTTCTCCCTCACCCCTGTGACGGAAGCCCCAGAAGTCTTAGCAGTGTGCAGCGATAGACCACGGCATCCCAGACGCGCACTTTTTTTAGGCCACACTGCATGGCTTCTGTGGTGCCTTATTTCACGAGAGAGGTTTTATTTGGATGCGTGGTAAAATAGCATAACATAAAATGCGTCGTTTCCACCACTTTTAAGCCTGCAATTCAGTGACCTGCGTCACCCTCCCGGTGCTGTGGTACCATCACCCCACACAGAAGCATGTGTGGTGGCCATCGGCACACCGCCTTGGGGACTTCTATTCTAGGATGGAGCAGTAAGACCAGTGTCCGGGCCCGGTGACTGGAAGGGACAGAGCTGGAGGTGATGCTGGAGGTCCCTTGGCCAGGCACTGTCCCCTCCGGAGGGGGAGGGGGAAGAGGAGGAGGGTGGAACGTCTCCCTGAAGTAACGCAGCCGTCTTTTCTTCAAAACCGTCATGTTGGCAGTGACTCAGCTGTCACACCATTCAGCACTGCAAGCACACAAGAAGAGTTGTACGTGCAGTTTCAGAACATTTTCTGCACTTTCGCCCTCATCATGATTGGCTCCCCATTTCTGCCCCTCCCCTGCCACATCCCCCAGGTTCCTCCAGCGACTGTCTCCACAGGCTCTGGTCTGGATCTCACACACAGGAAAGAGCAACGATAAAGGAAAACAGAAAAACCTCCATCGAAAAGAAAGCAGAAAATGTGGAAGACAAAGACAAGTTTGCAAGGGATTGTAAGGGAGGTCCAATGAGAAGGGTGCGATTATCACCGAAGGGCATCGGCAACAATCCACTTTCCAGTGCCTTCCGCTGTCCACGGCCCAGCTCTGTGGTCAGAGGGCCTTCACCAGGGGCTAAATTGGCCTGTATGTCCCCTTCACTTGTTTTTTTAAAAAACTGAAACAACTTGAAAATGGGCCACAGGGAAAACCAAATGTTCAGGAATGGCATTTTAACCCAAACACACCTGCCAGAACCCACTCCACAGCGCTCCATCGGGTGCCAAGGCTGCTCAGATCCCTCGACCCTGAGTCTTAAGTCGGGCAGATGCGGGCACAGTTGTGAGTGGCAGCTAGGGAGCCTCTTGACAAAGGGCGGCCCCATCTCAGAGGGACTGTGTGGTTGGCTTTCAGTTAACCGAGACGTCTTCTCAGCCCGTTAGTGCACAAATCCATCCTTAGTCCCTCGAGCCGCTGGGCCTGCCAGAAGCAGACGTGAGCCTCCTGGAATCGAGGCGGGCAGCCCTGGGACCGTGTCCACACGTTTCAGGGCGTGAGCTTATTTATTTGGCCACAGGCACAGGCGCCTAGCGGGTTTTGAGGATGTCTTCCAGAAGAGATCTCTTTTCCAAGTTCGTTCTAAGACTTCCTGCTTGAAGCGGTGCCTTCCCTCTGCGGTGTGCAGGAAGAGGGGGTCTTAGGCAGCTCCACTGTCTGTGCTGGTGTTTACTTCAGGCTCCTTGGATGGCCACGGACATCCTGGGACAGCTGGCCTGTGAGCAGGGCTTGTTCTGTGCCCATGCCTCGCCCAACGCAGAGGGGGCGCGCAGAAACCAGGACCGACTGCCCGAGATCGTTCAGTTGTGTGGCAGACCCGGGTTGCCACCTGGGACTGTGGTGACTGAGGCGGGCTGTGCATTTCTGTCTCCAGAGAGAGCTTCTGGGATTTTCTTGGCAGCCTGGAGTCTCCAGTGGATTTGCAACGGGCCGTTTCTCCACCAATAGGCCTTTTAATGGTCTCTGCATCTAGAGACCCGATCGCGTCTGTCCCGTGGGCCGTAGTCCAAAGCAGACCAAAACCCTACCGTCAAGGCGATGCCGACTCAGAGTGACCCTGTCGGACAGGAAAGAACTGCCCCTCCGAGTTCCCGAGACTAACTCTTCACAAGAGTAGACAGCCCTGTATTTCCCCCCTTGGAGCAGCTGCTAGTTTCGAACTACGGACTTTGGGGATGGCAGACTAACTCGTAACCACTATGCCACCAGGACTTCTTTTGTGGGCCGGGTTGGGCCTGGGAAATGCCCCGTGTGACTCCTGAAGCTTCCGACAGCCACCCTGAAGGGACAACGTCTGTCTGTCCTTGCTTCAGGGTGTGGACGGGGTTCTCAGTGAGGGACCACCGCCGATCTGGTTCCCTCTGGGTGGATTCTACCTGGTGCTCATGGGAGTCACTAAGAACCCCCCCACCTACAGTGTACACACACTCCTCTCTGGACACTAGGTGCCGGACACCTTGACCACACACACGGTGCCTGCTCCACGCCCTTTCGTTTCCCTGGTTCCCCTGCCAAAGGTCAAAGTCCCTTACAGCCCGAGGCTGCCTGATCTGAAGGTCGCTGGGCCCAGCTGCCTCTCTGGGCCACATCAACCTTGTGCCTTCTCAGGAAGCCTCAAGCCTAATTCCCGCCCCCACCCGTCCAGCCTCCCCCACGCCTCTGACGCTCACTCCCCTCCCATCTTGTTCTTTGTAGAGTTGGATTACAGAAACGCCTATGAAATCGAATATATGGAAAAACTGGGCTCCTCCTTACCGGTAAGTTCCACTCCTCCTTTGTGGTGAGGTAGCAGTGGCCACTCCTGGGGAGCTCAGATCCAGCTCGAGCCCGCGCCCTGGGGAGCACGGCTGGGGGTGGCTTGCACGCAGTCTGCTTGGTGAGGCTCCTGGCAGTGCGGCCTCCATGTACAGAGAGAGCAGCGCCAGTCGACCCGCTCCGGCTGCTGTGTGTGCTGACTTCTCCAGGGCCAGTGTTTCATTCTGTTCCGTTCTGCCCGCGGCTTGGGTGCAGGTGGACACAGCAAGTTCCTGTGCCCTCCGGCCACCTGTGCCTGTTCTGTTTCCTGACCTTGGTTGTGCCCTCCCACCCCCTGCAGTGAACAGCGCCCCGCCCACTTCCTCTCTGAGGGCCTCATTTCCATTCACCCATCTTTTTTGCCCGGTCCTGCCTCTGGGCTTGGCTTTGGGGTGGAGCCACCCTGTGGTTCTGGAGAACTCATCTTCCTGGTACCATTGCTCACCAGACATGCAGGCCTGCCCGTTGTCTGGCTGAACGGTGATGACACACACATAGAGGTACACATGCACACAGACATCCGCAGACACACACACAGACACATGGACATACATACGCATACACACCTGTACACATACACATACACACATACATAGACACACGTACACACACACACCCCACTCCCAGAGGTGCACGGCTCCAGTTTGAAGGGTGGGTTAGGGCCACAGTCCCGGGGAGTCCCAGCAGCTGCTATCAGACCAGGATGCCTGCTCTTCTTTTGTTTTGTCCCTGTGTTCTTCTCTCACTCAGTCCCGGGCCTTCTGGTTACTAAGGTCCTATTAGTGTTGCCTGGCCGTTGTGTTTTCTGCTTAATAACGTTCACGTGGCAGGGCAGTGAGTCTCTCCCACCCTCGCCCCTGCTCTTTTCTGTTTGAAGTGGTTTTGGTGGTGTCTCGGCTCAGGCATCCTATCTGCTGCCGTGCAGGGCTGCCCTCAGAGTCCGGAGGGACCCGGGCACTTGAGGACATGTAGTGACCTGGTCCTGTGTGTCATTGGTGGATGACGGGCTGCTGCGTCTCCGCTCCATCATGCTGTAAACTAAACCCAAAGGTGGGGCAGCAAAGTGCCCCACAGCACACCTTGTCCCCCTTCACGTGCCTAAAGGACAGTCTCACTCGCCCCTGAGCTGGGCGTCCATCCGGGTCACAGAAGAACTCTCTCGCAGGCAGGGCGGCAGGCGCAGGGGTTGGGAGGTCGCGGCCCCCTGTAACCTGCGTTTTGGTTCTCACAGCGTGATGATGCCGAGGACGAAGACGCCCCGAAGAAGCAGGCTCTGTACCTGGTGTTTGACACGCCGCAGGAGAGCCCGGTCAAGTCTCCTCCCACCCGGATGTCAGAGTCGCCCACGCCGTGTTCAGGGTACGGCACGGCCTCTGGTCTCCTCCTCACTGTTGCCCAACGACACTCTCTGGTCATTTCTCTCTGAATGTCCACGCGCACCAAGTGTGTGCCGCAGGGGCTGCCCCTGGCCTTGATCTTGTGACGTTACCCCTGGGGGACAGTGGGACAAAATTGTCAGCGTCTCACCTTCACCCCTGACCCCATGGTGTGATCGCACACAGGTAACGCCACCACCCTGTGCCTCAGCTTCCTCACCTGTTGGGGGAGGAGGGGGCTGGACGACCAGTAAGCCTGGCCACGCAGGGCCTTGATACAGGTGGTACCCCTCAGCTGTGGGATGGGGACATGGGAGCAGGGCCCGAGGCCCTGCCTAGCACGCACACAGTGCCCGTGGGGCACTGGTATTAACGTGGATGTCAGTGGTAGTGTTTGTCAGAGTTCGGGCTCCAAGCTATGGGGCACCTGCTTGGGGAGCATAGGACTTTCTCCGCCTTGTCTCCCTGTCCCCCCTCCACGTGCGGGGATGTAATCTCGGGCTTTCATCCCAGAGTGACTGGGGACCGTGAGACCGGCACCGGCCCACGATGATGCTGCTGCAGCTCCGGTCATGTGGCCGTTAGCATTGCACCAGGCGTCCTGCAGCCCCTCGTTCATCTTCCCAGAGGGGCGCGTCCTCCTCTTACAGGAAAGGACACGGAGGCGCAGTGCCCGGTCACTGCCCAGGGTGCACAGCCAGTAACTGACTGCCGAACTCCCCCAGAACATGATGCCTGTGTTTCTGAACCCGTGGCCCCCATGCCTCCTAGCCCCTGGCACCTGCGCCCCTTAGCCTGTGGTGTGTGTGCCCTGTTGCCCATGGCACCTGTGCCCCCTCGCCTGCAGCTTCTGTGCTTCCCACCCTCCCTCGCCAGCAACCCCTGGGGCGGCACTGGACCACCTTTCTCTCACACTGTGGAATCTCCTGACCCCACGGGCACCACCACTGATGCCATGGCCCTCTGGGAGTGTGGCCCTGGACCAGGATCCCCTGGGGTGTCCTGGCTCATTTCAGTGGGATTCCGATGCCAAGACTCTTAGACGATGCCCTTTGTTCACCAGGTCAAGCTTTGAAGAGACTGAAGCCCTTGTGAATGCCGGGGCCAAAACCCACCCTGCCATCCCCCGGGGGCTGGGCTCCAGCCAAGAACCAACCTTGCAGCTACCAGAGAAGTCCACCCCGAAGGAGCTGGAGGCCATGGCCCTGGAGACCACTGCAGACCCCATTGAAATTGTAAGTGGGGGCCAGGGGCGGGGGGGCTGTGATCACAGGGGGTGAGGCAGGCCAGCGGTTGCCCGTCACGAAGGGGGTCCAACCTTCAGAGCAGTGTCCTGCAGACCCCGCCTGCCCCCAACACAGCAGAAGGCAGTCAAGAACCCCGAGTCCACAGTACAAGGGCGAGTTCTCCTGACCCCAGTGTGCCCTTTTCATCCTCTCGGTGACCTCCCTGTCCCTGGCCTCCATCTCTGAGGTGACAGCAGGCTGGCACTTGGCAGAGAAAGACTGGCAGGGAGCACCCCCTGTTGGGAAACAGTTGATTTTCTTGGGCCTCGGTGATACGGAATCCCTTCTGTAGACAGATCGTTAAAACGTGCCTTACACAAATAAGGCACGTGCTCTGCGTACGTGTGGATCTGTACAAACCATGCAGCCTCCTTGGGCATTAATTCCCCGTGCGCACATGGCGTGTTATGCCTGTGTGCATGCTGTTTGCAGGGAAGGATGGTAGGTAGAAAGCTGCTGCTACGTCATCATCTACTGACGGCAACCTTTATGTAAAGCAGGACGAAACGTTGCCTCCGGTCCCTGTCCTCCCTTGTGGCTGTTGCAAGAGCCCTCGTTGGCTCTTACGCACATAGAGTAGGTCGGACACGGCCGCCTTCCCAAGCCGGTGACGTCCTGCACAGCACACAGACACAGCCGCTGGCCCGGCCCGCTCACCTTCACACACCACCACTCGGGTCTGAGGGTGGCCGGCCTGTGTGCTCCCGTCGTAGGTGAGGCTCCCGCGGAGCCCTTCCACACAGTGAAGAGGGGCCAGCTTCCCCCTGGCTCTTTATTGGTAATCCTTTCTCTCCCTGCAGCAATTCCCTGGAAGCGATCGATTTGGTGAATTGCCTTTGTTCCTCCTGATTAGGCCATTCGATTACCCCCTATCAGATATTTATTGAGCACCTACTGTGTGTCTGGCAATGGGTCTGATGCTGGAAAAACCAACCAACCAACCAACCAGACCTGCACATGAAGCAGATGGATTTCCAATAGCACCGAGTACAGGGTCCGACCACTGCTCAGCCACCTGATGATTCTCACGTCTTTCTGAGCCTCCCAGAGACACTCTTGCATGGGCTCTCTCCATTATATAAGGAGCCCTGGTTTGGGGGGCTGGGGGTGCAGTATCCTACAAGTTGTTGACCACAAGGTCAGTAATCCGAACCCGCCAGCCACCCCTTGGGAGAAAGAGGTGGCTTTCTGCTCCCATGAAGATTTATCGCCTTGGAAACTGATAGGGGCAGTTCTACCCAGCCTTGGGGGCTGACTCGGTAGCACTGAGTTAAGTTCCATTATGTACAGATATATATATTTATTTTGAATGGCGATACCGAGACCAAACCTCCCTTACTTGGGTATTGATCCTTGGAGGGGTTTTCTTGATGCCTTATGTTAGGAAAATCCATTGGCAAGCTTGCCTAGCTTCTTCCCCCTGAGGTTTCCAGATACATTAGCACGTGGTGCACCTCTTCCCACAGGTTGGCTGGTTGGTTATGGCTCGAGAAGGTGGGTGGTGTGGGTCTGGAAGGTCCTCTCTGGCTGTTGGGGGGCGGAGGTTGGGCCTGCCATTCTCCCTGACCCCATGTTCGGCCTGTGACAATTAGTCCAGGTGAAGAGCCGAGCATTGTCGCTGATGGAGTCTCTCTGGCACAGTGGTTCTCCACCTTCCTGACGCCGCGACCCTTTCATTCGGCTCCTCGTGCTGTGGGGACCCCCAACCATAAAGTTACTTTTGTGGCTACTTCATCACTGTCATTTTTGGGGCGACCCCTGGGAAAGGGTCGTTTGACTCCCAAAGGGGTCACGACCCACAGGTTGAGAACCACTGCTCTGGACCCTTAAGGCAGCAATGTCCAGCAGGTGGGTGCCAGTCTTCGCCCAGATCTACTGCCTCTCTCCTCTCCTCTCCTCTCTCCTCTGTCTCTCTCTTTGGCCTTCAGACAGCTCCGGGGGACGCCTTTGTCTCCGCGGATGCGCTCCTCAGCACGCTGGCTCACCCCACGTCTCTTTGTGGTACCCTTGGCTACCTGGAGCCCGACTTAGCAGAAAAGAACCCCCCCGTATTTGCTCAGAAACTCCAGGTTGGTAGCCCACCCGTGACCTGTCGGGAGTTTGTCAAAACCTCCGTAGAGAAAGAGCCCCTGGGGCCCAGGGGATAGGAAGCGGGGCTCAGAGAGCGGGTCAGGGTCCGAGTCAAACACGTACCCTCAGAGGCCCAGACGCGCCGCGTTCTTTCTCCAAGACATTGCGTGGCGTGCGCAGACTGGGTCACCCTGTCTCCACAGGCCAGCTCACCCTCAATCTGAAATTGGGCCCACGCAGTCATTTTTCCAAGGTCTTGATAGGCCCCTGCATCGGTGCCTGAAGTGTATCTTCCGGGTCCAGGCATCAGATTTCTCCAGCAAGCCAGGGCCATCCCAGACTCCCAGTGAGGCAGTGCTGGGGCCTGGCCGTCCATGTGGCCCCCAGCCCGTTCTCTGGGCCACGCTGCAAATGTCACCACTTCACCTGAGACCCCCGGGCAAGCGTGTTCAGCTCCGGCCTGGAGAGGCTGCTCAGTCGCTGCCGACTGGTGGCCGACCGGCTGTATTGTGAATAAAGCAAAGGACAGAAGCCAAGACTACAGAGCCGTTGGTGCAGTGGGGGGTGGGGTGGCCCAGGCTCAGACCCTCCTCCCATTTGACAGCCGTTGGCAAGGGTGATGGGAGGGTTTGGGGAGGGGGGTCAACCTGCTCTCGTGGCGGCTGAGGGTCTGGCTGTGACAGCCCGGGCGTGTGTGTCACCTCCAGTCCTTGCCATGACGATGCGTGGGGAACACTTACGCCCTGTCTTGTTGCACCCCCCCCCATGGTTCCATCACCCTGACTCTCGGGCAGGAGGAGTTAGAATTTGCCATCATGAGGATAGAAGCCCTGAAGCTGGCCAGGCAGATTGCCCTGGCCTCCCGCAGCCGCCAGGACCTCAAGGTATCGGTGTGCTTCCCGCACCCGCGCTTCAGCGTGCAGTGCGAGCCCCCACAGCCTGCTTTGCTAACAGAGTGGGACTTTTCAACAGGCGAATGCATAACTCGAGAGCGCGCGCGCGGAGGGCTCTTTAACCTGTGAGTGGGCACACGGCCGCTTGGGGGGGGATGGGAGAAGCCAAGGTGCATCTGGTCCCCAGGTTTCCAAACGGAGTTGGCCTGCCGTCCCCTTGTGAGGAAAAGAAAGTGACTCGCGCCTCCCTGTTTCATGTGTCCCCCCCGAACCCCTTCCCACCCAGCCCACATTCCAGGGTCGAGTATGGGCATCTGCTTCTGCAGCACTCCGGGATGGTTTCCGTGGCCCCAGGGGGCCATGTCGCCCACTTTGGGAAACAGGGCCCTAGAGGTCTGGCGGCCAGAGGCGAGCATGGTGGTCAGTGCCCAGCCCAGAAGCCAGTGCACTTGTCTCTGTGAAGGGCCAGCTAGAGGCTAGTTGAAGCTTGGGGACCGGTGATCACCTGTTAGCCGAGCGATGTTACAAAAGCAGCCAGAGGGGAAGTGCTCGCGCGGGTGGGCGTACCCTGGCCGGGATGACGGTCACCCCGGCCTATAGTTCACCAACACTGCTTGGAGTCAGTGTGAGCCTGAGAGAGTGGGCAGAGATACCTTTCCCTCGGGGCTTCCAGGCATGGGGTGATTGTCCAGAACAAGTTGACTGTGTGGCTGCAGACAGGTAGAGAGGTGTGTGAGGGTGAGGGATAGAGGGCTCTCTGAGGCTGAGCCCACCCCCAGCACAGACCAGCTGCCCAGCAGCCTCCTCTCATGAAGGTGACTTCTGGGAAGTGGCATCCTGTCCCTTGTCTGAGAGCTGGAAGGTGTGGTGGTAGACACGTCAGGGGTGTTTTGGTCTGAAGACCCCCGGACCCCTTCTCCTCCCATGATAATGGAGCCTCACTTTCCCCATCTGGACTGAGGACACTGAGACCAGCATCGGCCCCCTGTGTTTCCAGTGGAGGGCCGAGACCACCTCCCCAGAATAGCGGACCAAACCCATTGCCACCTCTGGGCCCCCACTTAAGAACCGGGGGCGGTGGGGGCTTTCTAAGGCGCATTAGCCTGGCTTCCTCAAGGGCTCCCCTCACCTGGTCCTCACAGCCCTGGGGAGCAGGTGCTGCCACTCGCTGACTTCACAGATGGAGACGTAGAGGCTCCGGGGGGTGGAGTGGCTGGGTGTCCCCGACTCCTTCCTCAGAGGTGGTGGGTGGCGACGGTGCAGCCACTGCTGTCGCTCTGTTCTGGAACTGCGTGTCCACACTTTGATTTAGGAAACAGCGCCGCACACACCAGGGGGCCCTCGTGGCGCCGGGGGTAAAGCACTGGGCTGCCCTCAACGAGGTCGGTGATTCGAACTCACCGGCCACCCTGAGAGAGAAAGATGAGGCTGTTTGCTCCTGCGAGGCCGCCCTGCTCTGTCCCCTGCGCTGACGCTGAGGAGGGACCGAGTCAATGGCAGTGAGTCCGGCCCGTCGTCTTTGGAGCAACAGAAATCAAGGAGCCCTGGTGGCCTCACAGATCAGGCGTTAGGTAACAACGGCAAGGTCGGTGGTTCAGACCCACGGGCCGCTCCGTGAGAGGAACCAGAGGCTGTCTGCTCCTGTAGAGTCCCAGCCTCTGTGGCGTAGGGACTGACTCGATGGCAGTCTGTCTCTGGTCACACGGATCCACGGAGCCCATGCTGCCCCCTATGTGTTCCCAGAGTGTGCTGGAAGAGATGTCTGTGGGGCTGCAGGGCCACGCGCAGTGAGAGGGCAGGCTCGGCTGTCCCGTGGGAATGGTGCCATGCGGTAGAGGGAGTGGACTGAAGACTTTCACCTTCCATTGGCTGAGCAGCCCGAGGGTGGTGGGTCCAGGTGGACTTCTGGCACACAGACACTTGCTCACACCTCACAGCTGGGGAACGCCGGCGCGCAGAACAGAAAAGCTGCCGCTGGCCCCCCAGAGTGCTCTTTGCCCACCAGCCCCTCTGTTTCAGCGGCTGGTGACACAGCCCAGACTTCTTGGCAGCATGGTCTGCAGCGTGCTAGTGCGAGAACGCAATCGGTTGGAAGGAGAACTCCGAGTCAGGGTGGGCGGTGGGGGCGGGGAATCTGCATGAATTATGTTCCGGTCCAGGGTGGCTGTCTGGCTGATGGAGTCAGGGAGCCTCTGAGGAACCTCCTCCGTCTTTGTCTCCTTCCTGCGTTTGAAACATGGCTAGAGGGGCAACCCGGAGGGGGTGGCGTGTCTCTCTGCATCTTTCTGATGGGGCTGCATCCCACCCCATTGGGTCCGCCTGGGTTGTACGTGAGCGGGGCCCCTGGCTCAGGGGAGCAGCAGCCCCAGACTGGACGGGGAAACTCCACCAGGACAGGCAGACAGGGATGGTGTCCCCTCTGCTTGGTTTCCATGGGGTGTGGCGCCCAAGCACATCCAGTTGGGGGTCTGTAACAGTGAGGATGACCCCTCCACTGCTGGCCAGTCTGGCCCCAAAGACCCTGTTGTAAAGAGTGCAAGGTGCGTCTTGGAGACGCGTGGTGGGTGGACAGTGAGCTCTGGCACCAGGCTGAGAAGTGTCCTTGATTATCATCGCCCCATTCCTGCGGGAGCCCCGGCGAGAGAGACAGGTGTGTGGCTGTTAGTGAACAGAGGTAGAGGTGGTCTGGGCCACCCCACAGCCTAAGCTGTGTGTCTTCTCCACTCTCCATCCCAGAACAGGGATGAGGAGTAGTGGGTGGGACTGAGTGCCTTCCTGGCCGGCCACGCCTAATCTGGAGAATTGCTCCTTGTCAGGTATGGACCGGGTGGCGCCAACTTACAGCCACTCCTGCCCTACATGGCACTATGCGGATCGTCACCTGCTCCTAATCCCCACGTCAGCCCAGTGTGGCTCCCGGCCTGCACTCCCAGGCTGCCGTTCACACACACACACCCATCCCATCCCCGCCTGAGTCTGCCTCCAATAGCAACCCCAGCCTAGGAGGGAAGGGTCCCAGACAGGTCAACCCCGCAGGTGGGTTCATGCCGGAACCAGGACTGCAGGGACCTGATCGACAGGTTGGGAGCTGCTTCTAGAGGCTGACTGCTCCTTTGGGTCTCGGCCGGCTCATATTTTAATTTATGATTCCAGCGGCTTCTTTGGTCCTTTGGGTCCTCCTGAAGTGGCAAGTGGGGGTTAGGTAAGAACCGAGGCATAATTTGAACAGAATCTCGAAATACTACAGAGAGACAAGCCTATGCATTTCAGTGAAAAATAGCCTTGTCTGTAGGGGGCATTGGGGTGTGCACGGCGGGCCTCATTAACTCCCGGCTCCCTGGGCAGTCGCTCGCTCACTCACAGGGGCTCTGACGTCATCAGGGCTGTGTTTGTGGCTCCAGGTGTCTGGGGTGAAAGGTGATGGAGTGACTCACTGGAGCTGGGCGGGGCCTTCTGCATTTCTTGGAAGGCTCAGTGTAACCTATCCGTTTGTTTCCATTTCCTTACTCGCGCAGCAGACCTGTCACTTAGACTCCTAGGGCCCTCGTTGCACCTTTCAATTTCTGCCCCGTGTGATGAAGTCCGCTTTAATTAAGCGCCTCTTCTCTGGCAGAGTGGTTGGTTGGGGGTCAGAACTGCACCTCACTCTGAGAAGCCTTTTAGCTCAGTCTCTTGGTGCATCAAGTTTTTCGTCTGCAGAGGAAGGAGACCGATTATTAGAGAGCATGCCGTGTTTTGTTCCCTTTGAAATCGTACGCTGCTTTGTTTCGGGTGAAATGTTGAGAGCGATCGGAAGAGTGGGTTGGTTTCTGGTCTTTCTCAGAGCTTTTTTTCACACCTGCAAACGTGAGGTTTGGGTCTACCGGTGGAGAGCATGGCAGGGGTTTCTCCTCCTACATGCAGAACCTTGAAATGCCGTTTCACACAGCGGCGAAACCTGGCTCACCGGGCGAGGCTCTGCCGGTGCCTGCTTAGGGAGGCTCTTCCTTCTGCGGGGAGATGCAAGGGGTTGTCTGTGCTGTGTGTCCTGGAGACTGAGCCTTCTCTAGGAGCCAGGCCCGAGAAGGCCCTGGCACCCCATTCACCACGTGAGTGTCTTTCTGGGCTCTGTTGGAACAGTGGTTCCCCATCCATGCCTCCCATCAGGATGAGCCCAGGTATTCCAGGCCAGGCTGGGGCCGTGAAACCAAAGTAAAAGGAGCTCCCACTTGGCCATCACCCCCCGCCCCTTGCATGTGTACAACTAACTGGCCCTAACTGAGTACAATCCAGTCCTATGTATTAAACTCCCATTGCGTGTTCACCGCTGTCTCCCTCTCCGGACCGTGTCCGGCCTCCATGTGGTCATACAGTGAGCTCCTGTGAGGTGGGGCAGACACCTGCTCCGGCACCTCCAGCTGCTGTAGCTTCTGTCCCTCGTGCGCTGGTGGCCTGCTCACTGTGCCACTTGGTCTCAGAACTGGGAGACACTGGGGCTTCGGCTTCCCTCGGCATTGGACTCTGGAAACATGCTGGAGGCTTGCCCCCGGCAACCGCCCCCATCAGCTCCGGGAGGCTAATGGACAGGACTGCGAGTGTGGCTGGTGTGCGGCGGCGTTTGCAGTGGAAGTAGACTGACCGCCTGGCTTGGCTGGTAGACAAGACGCACTAACCCTGCATCCAACTGTGCAGTTTCCAGCTGCTGAGCGTCTGTGCAGAGAGAGAGGGCCGACCAGAGACCGGCCGCTTCTCCGCTCCCAGGAGGCTCATGACTGTCCTCGACACAAGGCTGCCGAGGGGCCGGGGTGGGGGCACCCGCCCGCTTGCTGAGGGTCTGCTGAGCGTGTGGATATTGTCACTGATCCAGGGTCTCACGCATCTCCCCACTGGCATGGCAATGGCCTGATGGCCGCACAGCTGCGTGTGACATTACCTGTGTGGAGCCAGAAACTAGCTCATTGAAAGGGATGGCGGTTGGCCTCGAGGCTTTGTGTGAGGCAGAGCCCAGCCAATGGAGCTAAACAAATGCGCGCCCTTTTCCACGCCCCCTCCCCAGCAGAAACATGGACAGTCGTCAGAAAAATGACCCGTTCTGTGGGGATTCAAAACTAGGCAGATGCGGCATAGATCCTGCCTTGGCCCACGCATTCAGGTTTCGCTTGGGAAGCGGAGCCGGCTGGGGTTCCCGCATGGTGAGCCCAGGGGGACTCTGTGTGATAGATGATGTGATAAGCAGGCCCCAGACTAGCCTGACTCCAGGGGCCTCCCCATAGCACAGGTGGGAAGCGATAGATGTCCATCGATGGTCCTGGCGGCCCCCGCCTCTCCATTAGCCTGTACATTCTCTCATGCTCCTGCTGTGCTTTGTCTCCAGTCAGACAACTGACCGCTCGTGAGGAGCCAGTGAACGCAGGCTTCTTGGGATGGGTCCAAGCTGCTTCTGTCCCAGGGTTAATAGGAACTTTTTTCTTTCTTCTTTTTTTAAAAAATTAAAAACCATTCCACAGAGAGAAGCTGCCCACCCAGCAGACGTCTCCCTCCCCAAGACCACCTTGTACTCACGCATTGGGACCTGTGAGGCAGAGAAAGCCCCAGGCCTCCTCTACCAGGCGCCGGACGTGGACGCAGCGCTGCAGATCGCCAGAGCGGAGGTACGGCTGACTCCGGTCATGCTGGGGCGGGCTGTGGCCTGTCCCCGTCCACGAGGATTGTGGGCACCGCAGCCCGCAGAGCGAGCGTCTCCGGGGATGGCCTTTCTCCCCAGCATGCTGCAGGCGGAGATGGGTGGCAGCTGGGGTTGTCTTCTCAGAGACCACTCTCTCTTCCGTGGGACTTTGCCACTGAGTCCGATTTATAACGGAAAGCAGACACTTTTTGGCGTCGTGGAACTCTGATGTCCGGCGTGTTTTCTCCTCGGCCTCAGGGAGGTCTGACTCGGACTATAGATTGGCATAGCAAGTCTTAACGCCACACATGGTCTCTTCTGATCTGGGACGGTCTCAGATCTGCATGTACCTTTCCTTCTCCCCGATCCCAGATCCTCACCAAGGAGAGAGAGGCCACAGAGTGGAAAGATAAATATGAAGAAAGCCGGAGGGAAGTGATGGAAATGAGGTGAGGCGTCCTTTGTAATCCTCTGGGACCGGCCCTGGCTTTGCTGGTGGTGCTCTCTGGGGTCCCTTGTGGGAGCAATTGTTGGATAACTTAGGTGACACCCCTGGACCTTCATGAGGGGTTCTGACGAAGAAGCTGGGATCCCTTGTGGCGCCGCGGCTATGTGCTGGGCTGCTAACCGCAAGGTCAGCTGTTCGAAACTACCAGCAGCTCCTTGGGTGAAAGACGAGGCTTCCACTCCCGTAAAGCGTCCGCGGTCTCGGGGACTCACAGGGGGCAGTTGTGCCCTGTCCTTCGGGATGGACTCAATGGCCCTGAGCTTGCTTTTGTTTCTTTTTCAAGAGGGTTAACTTTGGAGAGAGGACTTCTTCACACCTCTCAGTCCTGTCCTTCCCTCAGCAAGGGGAGGCGGGGGAGCCTTAAGCACATGATCTGAGTGTGGGCTGCTAACCAGCCACGAGGACGGCAGTTCAAAACCACCAGCTGCTCCATGGGAGAAAGACGAGGCTTCCCCTTCCTGTAAAGCATGACGGTTTCAGACAACCCACAGGGGCAGTTCTACCCTGGCCTATAGGGTCTCCACGAATCGGAATCCAGCCCGGGCAGTGGATTTTACCCAAGGCCAGTCCCTACACACACACACACACACACACACACACGAGTAAGAAGTGGCCTGTGAGCCCCAAGGAGCCTGCACCTCACCAAGAAATAAGGCTCACATCCTGTGGTGCCAGGTGTGTGAGATGCTTTAAAAGAAGGAGGTGCGGGGAACATGCGGGGACTTGGGGGAAGCACCAGGAAGGCTTCCTGGAGGAGGTGGCATCGGGCTTCAGCCTGGAGAAACAAGTACACAGTGGCAGGTGGAAAGGGGGCTGTGAATTAATAGCACTGAGCAAAGGCCTGGGGGTGAGATGTCCAGAGCCCACCAGACATGGCTTGTTCTCCCTGTGTAGTGGGCGGCGTGGTGGGTGGAGCTGAGGTTAATGAGGGCCCTCGGCCTCAGAGGGCAGGGGCCGGTTTGGCCTGGTTTGGCGGTGGGGAGACACTGGAGGTTCTGCCCAGGGCGTGGTGTGTACAAGAAGCCTATTGGTGTGCACAAGGAGACCCCTGTCTGTGTGCCAGGGCTGGCCTTTTCTTGGGACCCACGTGGGAGATGAAGCCCAGCCTGTCATCCTGGCCCCAGTGTGTTCGCTTCTCTTGCAGGAAAATCGTGGCCGAGTACGAGAAGACGATTGCGCAGATGATAGGTAGGTGTGATGTCCCCTAGGTTTCTAGGTTCGGGGGGCGATGGCAGCTGGGAGGAAGTGACCTGAGCATGTTTTTCTCAGGACTTCCTCAAAGCACCTCAGACTGTGACTCTGCCCAGAACAGAGAGCCTGGGCACCAAGGCCTGAGGACACCCACTTGATGCCCATTTCGGTCCCTGGGGCCTGGGGGAGGCGTCACAGTCACATACAGGCCCCCGTCTAGCCCAGCTGGGGATGGGCGGGCTCAGCAGCAAAGAGACCTGAGGGCTTCTGGGCTCACCAAACCGGAATCAAATCCCTAAACCCTAATCTTGCTTGAGAATCAAGTGACAAAATGCCCCCGTTCAGCCTTTCCACAAGAGACCAGGGCACGAACGGCAGAGCCCGAGGCAGGCCAGCTGTCCCTCGCCTGCCTCCTGTGACCACTGAAGCAGAGACTGGTAACAGATTGCCACAGTCTTACTCCTGAGACTGGACAGCGGCTCATATTCCACCTTACCACATGGCCCTGGCGGCCAGCACCGACGATGCTGAGCCAAGCCCAGGAGTCCTCAGTGTGCAGAGTACACACACCTGCTCTTTGCTCCCTCTCTAAGATACATCGGGGACGTCAGAGCCTTCGAGGGGAAATGGAACTAGAAGATGATGCACTGTTGGAAGGCCCCCTCGTACGTTAGGAAGGAAGATCTCACGCCAGTTGCAAGCCCACGCTTTTCTACCCGAGGGATTGCAATTCAGAAAAAGATGCCGTGGCTCGGGACGGGGAAGGATAGTAGGGATGTCCTCTGCTACTGATGGGTTTAGGTCCTCAATACTCATTTTTAGACCTTTTTTTTTTCCTTCTTGAGAAGCTATGGAGTAGGGACCCCACCTCACGGCAAGCACAGTTCTGTGTCCATTCTGGACAGGAGACTGCCCCCCCCCACTCTTTTACACACACACACACACACTCAGGATTTCAGGCCTGTGGGTCACTCACACACCTCTTGCTTGAGCCAAGAGAAATAGAAGCACCACCAGGGACCGTACAGAGGCCAGCAACTGACCGCTGCCCAGCGGTTCAAGGTGCTTTGACTGGGATTTACTGTAACACCGGCCATCTCATCCCCGAGCTCCACAGAGGCCGCAGCCTCTCGGATGTGGCTGAGGGCCAGTCCCCTGACCCCTGCTCCCTTCCAAAAAGAGACATCGGTCTTTATTCCGTCAGTCTGAAGACTGATGGGCGCGTGTGCCTGAGATTCTAAAAGGGAGGGGAAGCCGCCTGGAGTTGAGCATGCCCATCAGAGCACTCAGGACGGAGCTTTATGTCTCGAAATAGGCAGTGGTTGGCAGGTGGAGCTAACCCTTTCAGCCTCCGGGGAGCCCTGCGGTGTGAGACCCTCCTCAATGTCCCAGGGTCCCCGGGGGTTCACTTTGCTCTCTGGGGTGGTATCCCCACAGACGCTGAAAGGGGAGCGGAGGATTTGGCTCCTGAGGGAAGGCAGCCGCTGCTTGCTGTCCGTGCTCAGAGGGCAGATCTGTGCAAGCAGCCACTCCCTCTTGCCACGCAGAGTGCACGTCTCTCCGGAGGCTGATTAGCCAACGGCTGCTCTCTGCACAGAGCATGTGTGCGGAGGTGCATCCAACGACATTGTCAAGCCCAGACAGGAGGAAGGGTGCATGGGATGGAAATTCAACTGAGTGCCCCCGTCCCCCATCCCCAAAGAAGGTTTTCTGTTTTCTTCCCTCCCATCCTGACTCAGGGATCGTGGCTACACACACCCTGAAACACACACACGCACACACACACGTAATCGTTCATTCCCTTCCCTTACTCTTCTCTGTGCCCCTCACACCCCCCACAAAGAGAACTGGTGTGTTTGGTCTGACAGTCTGGCTCTGAGAGCTGAGAACAGCCCCCCCTTCTGAGCATTTCCTGCTCTGGGTGTGCAGGGCTCCCCAGGGTCCTTCCCTGAGGCCCCCGGCGCTCCTAGCTGAAGCAAGGGAGTCCCTCCCTCAGGGGGGTCTCGCTGTGTGGCCGTCCCCCTTCCCCGTCCACTGCTCCAGAGCTGCCCTCTTCAGAAAGATGCCATGTCTGCAGGGGTCACCGGGCAGAGTCGGGTCCCAGGTCCTCGTGCCCAGCTGTGGGCAGGACAGGCCTTCTTTGTGGCTGGGGCCACATGGGAACACACTCAAGGTTCTCCTGGCCCTCCCGTCTTCTCTTCATTGTCACTCACCTAACCCGTGTCCCCGTGGGGCAGGGACACTTGGACCTGAGAGCTGGACCCTCGGACCAGAGAGACAGCCCCATTTTAATGTCCACCCCAGCACCCTGTCCCCACCCCTCCTCCCCACGCCAGCTGCAGCCCAGCTCTGTGGCGCCCATGCGGCTTCGCGGGCGCCCCACACCATGGTGCCCGCTCAGGCAGTGGCACTTTAGGAGACCAGGTGTCTGGCGCTCCGCGCGGAGCTCTCAGCATGGAGAACAAAGAGGGACCCCGCTCTCTGCCTTCCGGGTTGTTGCGATTGTTTTGTTTTGGTTTTTCCTGCTTCCCTAACGACCGCCCTGACGATCTGTTTTGCTTCCATTTTCTGTTGCTCCTTGCCCTTTGCTTGCAAAACAAACAGGCAAGCCTGGTAAGTGACCGCTTTTCACCTAATTTGACCACCCCACCCCACCCCACTCCCTGCCTGTTGTAAGCCCCAGTTTGGTTTGCTCCCCACCCTACCCCTGGTCTTTCCTTCCTGCTGCATCTGTTTCCTTGTCCTTTTGCTTTTGCGTGTCTGCCGCACTCCCCTTGGCCATGCTCGGAGAAGGGCCGGGCCGTCGTCGGGGCCTGGTGGTGGCACCGAGCCCCCTGGTTCGGGCCGACTTCCTGATGGGAAGCCCCAGCTGCGTGCCATTGACAAAAAGCCGGGAAGCCACCCTCCAGCCTCCGCCCTCCCGTCTCCTGGGAACCGGGGGTTCTATTTTTAAAAGGGTTGCTCGGGTGGGAAGGAAACTTGAGGCAGGCAGCGTCTCCGCTCCGGGAAGTAAGATCGACTTTGCTTTGATGGATGGCGCCATTACCGAGCTGGGGGAGATGTGGGCACAACCTCAAAGCAGCTCACAGGCACATCTCAGGCCACGTGACGGACGCCACTCCAAGCCAGAGGGTGGAAGTCAGCGTCTGCCGGCCAGTGGACTTTGGGATGACCTTTCTTCTAAGAGTCTTGTGTTAGTCTGGGCAGACTAAGAGAAA